AATCATATTACACAACACGATCTGGCAGCAGTCTTGAACGTTACATGAGTGAGTGAGTTGGGTTTAACGACGCTGATAATATTATTTCAGGTCCGTTATATCAGGTCTTGTCATCTTAATATGGGAGGAACACGGGATGCAGGTTCGGAAACGTTTACCATTTTGGTGAAACCCCTGAGCACGGGTATGGTGCTGACAAACCAAGAAACATAATAATGGCGAACAGGGATTCGAACCCACGATCATTTGTTTCTGACGTGCCCACGGGACGTAACTCTGACAAGCGAATTTCGGCGCCTGAGACAACTGAGCCACTCGAGCCCCACGAACGTTATGTGAACGTTTATACCTAATTTCTTTTATCCATAAAAAGCTTCAATGTTTTCAATGGATTCATGCATACTGCATGACGACTACATTGCAGTCCGAGGTGTGGTTAATAGAAGCCGAGTGGGCCGAAAGGCAGTTTTCTTTGCATCTGTACCCAGCTCGTGTTATTCCCTGTATATTACATCGGGCAGCAATGGATACGTAACATTGTATGAATACATGAACCTTCAAACGCCAACTCTCACAGAGTATAGGACATAAAAGCGGCACAACCTTTCCATATTCATAAGAAATATCGGCTATTTTGTTCGTTCAACATTTGTTTTTTGTTAAATGCTGCCAAGTTAATGATGTATCTCAGGGACGAAATGTCCACCAGCAGACAAATCGACTTGGTTCATGTAAATAAAAGCGACAAAACCCTTTCCATATTCATAAGAAAGTTAGTGATATGACTCGGGGACAAAAATATAACGACGAACAATATTTTAAAGACACAATATTCCGTGCACAACAAAAAATAGGTATGAATTTTAAAATATTGAGAGTGGGGGTACACCTCGCCTCGATGAACACTACCATTCCAACTGTCCCGATGAACGTCAGTATGTCGCGTGATCACGCTATCAGTCGACAGGAGTGAGTGAGTATGGTTTTACGCTGCTTTTAGCAATATTCCAGCAATATCACGGCGGGGGACACCAAAAATGGGCTTCACACATTGTACCCATGTCGGGAATCGAACCCGGGTCTTCGGCGTGACGAGCGAACGCTTTTAACCACCCGACCGCCCCCAGTCGAGAGGCGAGATACAGAACTACTTTAAGGGGAATTCCTCAAAGTTTAAAAATAACGTCAAAAGGGCTTTGAAGTCAGACATATCATGTATTTATCGGGTCACGGAAAGGAAGCGTCCATTCGAAAATACAGAGAATGCCCTACTCGCCAAGCGAAATCACAAAGCCCCATACTGTCGTGTATTGCATCGGGAAATCCCCGTCATCAGCAGCTCATCTAGCCTTAGTTTGTCTCATAACGTTCATATTAATCCATGTTCAGTTTCAGTCGGGTCTGATGTTGTTTGTTGTTTAACGTCGCACTCAGCAATATTCCAGCTATATGACGGCAGTCTGTAAATAATCGAGTCTGGACCAGACAATCCAGTGATTGATATCATGAGCATCGATCCACGCAATTGGGATACGATGACATGCATCAACCAAGTCAGCGAGCCTGACCACCCGATCCCGTTAGTCGCCTTTTACGACAAGCATAGTCGCATTTTACGGCAAGCATGGGTTGCTGAAGACCTGTTCTACCCTCTAACACCAGTGACCAGTGTGTGAGGGGACTGTGCGCTGGCACTTACAGGTGGTAGGACTTATTTTCACATTGAGGAATCTTTTGATTTCCGTGCTATTCTGAAGCAACCCTTCAACTTTATTTCACTGTCTTGTCTCTTTGTATTGTTGAACACCCGTGAAGATCCGGATTACGATTGGTCTTCAGCAACCCATGTTTGTCGTAATAGGCGAGTAACGGGATCGGGTTTTCAGGCTTGCTGACTTGGTTGATGCATGCCGTCATATCCCAATTGCGTGGGTCGATGCTTATGATATCAACCACTGGATCGTCTAGTCCAGACTCGATAATTTACAGACCGTCGTCTTTTTGCTGGAACATTGCTGAGTGCGGAGTAAAACAACAAACAAAAATTTATTGTGTACAACAAATGAAATGTATTCGCAAAGCTTCGTTTTCTGATGGTAATAAATATATTGACTGTGCTCTAACAGTATCCCTTCCACAATCCGGCTACGACTTTCTTTGCCTTTCAGTGTATACATAAAATTAATAAAAAGTATAGAATTATCCACCTGGGAAGCGCAAGAGTAATATTTGTAAGATGTTTTATAAATGTGGATGAGGGATTGTATGCTTACGTTCGACTTGGTTTCTTCTAAGTGAAAGTGTTTCATATTTTACGTAACATCCAAACATTTATTTAAAACAACTCCCTTTACTATTACTAAGGATGAGAAATACTGACCAAGTTCGGGCCACCGAAACTAACAGATTGTAATATAAAGGGAACCATGTTGTGTTGTGAACGTTCAGCGATACTTATCAGTGAGGCCCAATATGTGATCTTGACTACCAGTTGTTGGACTTTTGTAGAAGTCTCTGTGGCTGAGTGCGTTAGATCGTTCGTTAGACTTTGTGTGCTTACGATTAGGTGCCTCACTCTGAGAGTGTGGGTTCGAATCTCAGACGAGATGCAACCCCCAAAAGTACTAGAATTTGTACTTTACTAAGAAAGTGTAATCCCATATATAACATTTGTGACGTGGTCGGAATCGTACAATAGACTAAGAGATTTCTTATGATTGTTGAAACGATTTTGTCGCTTTTATTTATACGACTAAAAACTAAAATACAGCATTATTATCTTGTACTTGTTTCACATATAGCATTATAATCTTGCACTTGTTTCACATATAGCATTATTATCTTGCACTATTTCACATATAGCATTATCATATTGTTTCACAAATAGCATTATTATCTTGCACTTATTTCAAATATAGCATTATCATATTGATTCACAAATAGCATTATTATCTTGCACTTGTTTCACATATAGCATTATTACCGTGCACTTGTTTCACTTATAGCATTATTATCGTGCACTTGTTTCACATATAGTAACATAATCCTAACGTGTCAAAAACGTCTTAAGACATATTTGCTGAAGTTCGTTTCTTTTCGTTTAAAAACCGCCAAATAGACGATTCCATTCATCTGATGTCCCCACCAGAACTCGAAATAAAGGAGACCAGTGAGACCCCCTCGTCTGTCTCATGTTTTGATCTGTAAATAAAGATTCAGAGTCACATAAATTCTCTCTCCATATAATTGTGTGACAAGTGGGATGACTTCAAGTTCCAAATAGTCAACTTTCGCTCAATGTCGAGCAATGTTGCAGCAGCTCCAGCCTTTGGTGATCAACATTTCGCAAGTTTTAAGTTTTTTTCCCGGTCGACATGTAGAGAACATTTCCAAATTTGACGCATCAGTGACCAAAATAATGTCCGATGCAATTCCCTATTTTGACTTGTGTTAGTGGCAGGTGCTACCGGTAGGGCAGGCAATGTTTACCCTTTTCGCGAACACCTGTTTTCATAATTGATTTTCAGTGGTCCATATGTATAATTTTCACAGCTGTTTTGCCCTTTAAGCCAAAGGGGATCTGTTTCGGTGGATATTCTAGACTGGCTTTCTCTTGCATTGACAATATATATTTACATTGTTCCGTATGTTTTCGTAATTTGTCAGGTGAACAATTCACTTACCTTTGCATGTGTTTGTAATGGGTCCAACCTGTGGGGCAGGATACTTTCACCTTTTCGCGAACACCTGGTACTATGACGTTTGAACTTGTTTTGTCACTTAATACCAGATAGACTAGTTCATGTACTTTGTGAACAATGATGGAAATTTCATGTCGTGCTGTCTGAAGGTTCATATTTAGCGACTGAGAGTAAGATTTAAATATCACTCGATGAGCATATTTGTTGAACATTTGAAGGTTTTCTGTCAAAATTTAAAGAAGGATGTCGAACACTCTGTTGGGCCATAAAAGAATCTCAGACATAGTTAATAGTGAGTGAGTGAATATGGTTTTTTCGCCGCTTTTAGCAATATTCCAGCAATATCACGGCGGGGGACATCAAAAATGGGCTTCACACATTGTACCCATGTCGGGAATCGAACCCGGGTCTTCGGCGTGACGAGCGAACGCTTTAACCACTAGGCTCCCCGACCGCCCCCATAGTTAATAAATCGCGGTGAGCCAGAGTGGGCCTCAGCACCAAGGCTTGTCAAAATGAACGATTTAAATGAGGCGAGGTTTGTCACAGTGGGTTTGACCTGGCTGACTGTGTCATCGCGTCGCGACTGGCGTGGTCAATAATAATAATATGTCATCTCCCTTAGGAGTATACAACCCAAACTAAATGAGCCGCTGAAAGTTTAACAGTCTCATCACTGTCTTATTCTTCCCCCCAGTGAACAGAGGGATATTTCGAATGAAGCCATTCGCCAAAGGAGACGTCACATCTATCGTGTGTTTCTGCGTGTGGCAGGCTCGAATCTCTTGTTGCATTCAGGTGTCAAGCTAGCGAAAACAGTCACCCATCCACCTTCCGATACCTAGGGTTGATCATGGTCACATCCTTCAAAGCCCTGCAAAAGGTTTTATGGCAGACATGTGTTTGTCATTTCCATATTTGAGGCATAAGTGACAGAAATTATGTCTGCTGTAATGCTCTATTTTGACTTGTACCACATGTTCACGTATTTTCTCATGTGAACAACTGACTTGCTTTTGCATGGATGTGTGACGGATGCCATCGGTGGGGCAGGAAACTATCACCCTTTCGCGAACACCTGCTTACGTCACTATTTGATAGTGTTAATCAACACATGCTCTTGATCTAGCCTGAATAGTACATATGACACTTTTAGCAGAGAAGTGTTAATCTTATGGAAAGGTTTTGTCGCTTTTATTTAACCGATTTGTGACCGTGTCACCACAGCATGGTGTTTTGGATGAATCCAGACAAAAATGCATGACCAGACATTCCACTACTCACAAAGATACTAAACAATAATTTGAAATAATTTATTATCATATTCAGTAATCATATACATCATATGTTCCGCTGACTGGACATCAATCATTTATCTTTATTATTGAATTAAACATTTATGTATTATTACATACCAACATAATCATAGTGAGTAAATACATGACTGCTTTAATCTAATAATGCAAATAATTCACATGCCAGCACAACCCATGAAATGAAAGTTACGTCATATATATATTTATCCCAACATACAAATATGTAGCATACACACAAGGTTATAACAATGAAAACCGAGCAAAACATACATGAGTTAAACACAGAATATTGATAGGTTCTAATCACTAATACAAATTACATTTCTGATAGAAATATGTGTGAATATGTAATGTTTATAGGAAAGATTACATCAGCCATAATATTATACAGTCATTTGTTTAAAGGCTCATTACATATTATATTCACAATACGACGAGGAAAGTCCCATCTCGAGCCTTCATGCAGCCCAATTTTAAAGTATGTAATCTTGCATGAAACTTTACATGTCATATTTCAACAGGTGTCATATGAGAACTTCGTAAGTCTTGTATCCGAGACCGAGATACTTCCCCTGAGAAGGGTTCATATCTCTCGTTGAGCTTTGATATTCACCAATGCGCCTCCAACTGGGATGGTCCTATATGTACATGGTGTCGATATGAATGTGTGATATCATTCTGTGAACTGTTTGTTATATGTCCTTTAACAATTCTTTCAAACTTGCCGCGTAATAAACATTTGTGTTTGACTTTAGAGGAGCATAGGTTTGAGGTTCCTTCCTGAAAATGAAAGCATACAAATGGGTCGGAAAATTAGAAAATCTTAAAATTAATATTTTTTGTTTAAGTTAATTTTTTTTGTCCATCTGACATGATATGGAGAGAGAAGTTGCCCCGACCCCATGGGACAACCTCAACCCCATTTCACACACCATGACCTTCGCCCTCCGGCCCTCAAATTTGACCTTTGCTCCTCTTTGGTAATCACAAAATGAAACCTGTCATTGATTCTGATATTTGTATATTTTGCAACCAATCCACCATATCAAGCTAACCCATCGGTTAAGTATTTCACATACAAACTTTTTCCATCATACAACAATACACCGTAAAATCATGATTGTTGTGTCTTATATCCACTGCGTTCTTCGATTGATCAAATTCATAGTTACACCCTGACGAAATGTTCCAGTTACGTAGCCCTGTCTTGTTCAATCATAACTAACGAAACGTTTTCGAGTATCGGTCCACGAAATTCACAGCTGATTGGAGAAACGCACTCTCCATTCACAAGTCATGCCTTGGAACACACAAACACAAACGACAGAGACCCTTACAGCCAAATCCTAATGAGCGATCTTTGACCATTAGCCACAGATTAAGAGTTCTAGCTTGACGACTTGTCCACAAGAAAACACTTTGGTATCGATCCCACCCTGAGGCATATCATGCACAGATTTTAGGTCAAATTACCATGTGGTTCGAGGAGTCACATAATTACAGGCAATCATGATTTGGACCTCAGAACACTGGAAATGCCATTAGTATGCTTGTATAGCAACCCAAAGGCTAAGTGTTTAACACTGCCACGATTTTTGTTTTTGAGCAGCAAACACCATTATTGACGTGTATTCAACCCAAGTGGTTCACTTGATGTGGTCGATATTCATGTCAAGTAAAAGCTATCAACATGTTCTGTGAGTACTCTACTTCTCTGTACAAGTATGGTAGATCGTTCAACTTTTACACACATCCATATTATGTTTGTCCTTTGGATTTGAATCAGACTCCCCATTCCCACGTACCGCACATTTGATCCTTTCACAGTTTTGCCAGTAATTGATTGTCACTTGGATCAGAAAAAGAGTTTGATCAAGGCGATTTTTGACTCACTTCAAAGCATTGTCCATGACTATACCACCAATCTCACCGTGTATACGTTACTGGACCGTAAAGAACACATCCCTCCAAAGTTGAGCCAAAGGATGTGTTGGTGACCTGGCTGTGGTCCTACGAGACAATGACTTCAGGCATCCCCATGAACCATCAGAGAATGTTTGATTATGGGTATACACAATTCTCATCTGAGAACCTCAGAAGTTTGACCAGGGTTAGGCATTAAATGGCAAGCACCGACATCTGCAGCATGAATTCTTTAGACTTCCTTTTGAAATCGGTTGTCGGATGCAGATCAGAGTCACAAGCAGAGTCAGATCAGCGTCTATGGTATATTAGCTCCTAACTTTCGCGTCTTGTTACCTAGATATTTGACGGTCCCTGACCTCAAATTACATGACCACATGTCGTCCTCTACAACTGTGAGTGTTTTTCTCTTTCATTTCTACGTTATGAAGAAATAGTCTCACACCTTTAACATTAATATTTTGAAGTCTAAACAAAACAGGAATAACAACAGTTTGTGCTTATTCCTCAGCATCTCTAGCAGGGACAAGCGCCTTGATATAAGCATGTTCATTGATTCGCCTGTGATGTCACATGTTTGTACACTGTCCCAAACATCTGTGTCCATCGGCTATGCGGATTCACAACGCTTGAACATTAAGCTTCACAATCAGCATAGACATTTGATGTCAAACGCTGGACATATTGAGAGCTTTGGCCATATCTCGATGGCGCCGGTCCCGTGCTAGTCAGATTTGCGATGTCTCTGTCATTTCCGTGGACCTTCGGGACAGTCGCTTGTGCTCGTCCCTGTTGAAGTTGTACCTCACCGCCGGGTTCCTCATCATGCTGCATCGTCGGAACGTCTGGTTGCCGTCCTCACTGTAGTAGTCCGTATACTCCTTCTTGTATTCTTTCTGAGCACACTGGCATGGGCACATGGAGAAGAGGATTCGGAACTCGCGCTTAAACTTCTCCTGGTGGAAATAAGAGAAAGACCATATTTATTTGTTCAGAGTTTTCAAGTGATGTTATTTTTTGTTTGTTTATTTGTTGTTTAACGCCCAACAATAGTCCAGCTAAATGACGGCGGTCTGTAAATAATCGAGTCTGGACCAGACAATCCAGTGATTGACATCATGAGCATCGACCCATGCAATTGGGATACGATGACATGCATCAACCAGTCAGCGAGACTGACCACCCAATCCCGTTAGTCGCCTCTTACGACAAGCATAGCTGCCTTTTACGGCAAGCATGGGTTGCTGAAGACCTATTCTACCCCGGATCTTCACGGGACGATGTTATTTAAAATGCACCGAAATCGGAGTGGTTGACAAACGTTTTGAAAGGGATTAGAAGTCTTTCTTTAGTAAGTATCATGTCCCAAATTTGAGAACATATTCTATTCAGTATTAGTATCGCATCCATTATATATACTTTAGTTATTCTGTTATGGCATGACAGATTAATTATAGTAATGTGAACGAATGAGGCGTTCTTTAATTTCTTTTGAGAAGCATATTTGGATTAAATAACATTTATCACACAAAGTTGATGTAGTTGAGGTTTCGGATCATTTTCTTAATCTGGCGGGTTCTTTTGATGTCATGAAAGAATATGACGTCAGCCATTAAATCATGACGTCATAGTATTTCCAGAGAACGCGTAGAAAGAGAGTGCTATGGGAATGTAATACAAACTTTTTTGAATTCATATGGCAGCTTTTTTGAATAAGTCGAATGAGCATTCTGCGAAGATAAAACTTACATTGATCTAAGTGAGTGATTGAGCTAGAATGTATCCCCTTATATAACAACTTCATGTGATATGAAAATGCCCACAGACCAATGACCATAAAGGGGGCAAATGTGGGACTCGAACCTTCGACCAGCTGATCCTTACGTGGCTAAGGCACTTATTTCTACATTGTGTTCAAAATGACGAAATTAATGTTTGCAAGTGTAATGATTCAAATATGTACGCCTCTGTAATGAACAGAACCTTATAAAATGAACATACTGAATGGTTATAAACGTGTATTTCATAGTGATTTACAAACACCTGTTCATGACACAGTCAGAAACGAAAATCGACTTTTCCGTTAAGAGAAAATACCTTGTGGCTATGGAAAGTTTTTGTCGCTTTTATTTAGAAAAAAATGTAAGTTAAGTGCTTAACAGTAAGAGCGAAAAGCTCGGATTAAAAAAACCACCCACCTTGGTATGTACGGTTTTTTTTATTGATTCACCTTTGACAAAAGATTTCGGGTTCTTCAGAATCGTGACAGTTAACACCCCAAGGGTTTAAGACATTTTACAGCAATTTTTTTTGTACTCCATTCCCAGATCGAGTGTGCAATGATGCAAATATATCGTCAGAAATGTACAAATTAGAACCACGCGGTCCGGCATCAAGGAATACATAGGTATTACGGAATTCCGTTGAAATACTAATCTGTACTTGTTCAAAAGGAAAATTCTATTTCCGCCATGACTTGAAGACATTTGTTAAAAGAAATAGATTCAATGACTTTGTTTTGGCAATGCATATTGGACTATATAAAGCGAAAATTAAGTTCTGTAGTAGTCAACTAAGTTTTGTTAAAATGTTCTAGAATCCACATCACTGACGTGCTATTTGTTTTCTACCAAACTCTGCTGACATCCTACGACACGCGTATTACGAAACGTCATTACTCCGGACGGAGGGTCCGGATCAACAATTTAGCAGGATGCCAATTTAATTATCTATAGACGTGACAATTAAAGATGAGGGGGCACCATCCCTAGTCTTAACTAAATACACAAGGAAGTGACGACACCACCCCACACCCAACCCCCACATCAAAGTGTCGCAGTTAGGGGACGTGTAGGGCGCTGTCACACAAGGGATCATGCCCATGGCAAGCTGACATGACTAATGGAAGCAACTGTTTAAAGGGAGTGTGTTACCGTACCTCCCCCATCCCGTTATTGATATGGACCCCCTACTCTCGTTATTGATATGAAAAGAGATGTTATTATCGTGGTACTGACGTTGAGAAGGCCGTAGATGAAGGGGTTGTAGCAGGAGTTGCTCATGGCGAACCAGTTGGAGCAGAACCAGATTATGTTGATGTAACGGTATCTGAAAATACAGAACATACATTCAGAAATATTCATATGTCAGCTTCCTATCGATAAGGATCACAACTCTTAAATCATTGTTAAAAAATTACCCGTTGAGTGTCTTTCAAAGCAAGACAGCTTCCTACCAATCGCAAACATAAATATAGAGGGTCGGACGCAGCTTATAATTCTGTGTAAATAAAACATTCAGCCTCCATCTGCTTGAAAAACACAATCTAACCCTTCAAAATAAGTCTCGACCACGATATGGCCATCCTCATCAATACAGAGTATTTCGTGAGCAAAGCCATATTTTATTACATCGATACATGGGCGTGATAAACAGTATGCCTGTAACACTAAGTCACTGTGTTATATCCTTGGACAAGGTTATTGATTCTACTTGTGATATGACTGAAACATACTTGTATTGTCAAAGAACATGAGTTATATATCAACATCATTACAAGTCATGCCAACAACAACAACAACAAAGACAGTATTGTGTCCAGTTTGGAGAATGGAGTCAGTTGTTCAGTATTCGATCAACCATCAAGACTGAAATCAACACATGAACTCCCTTAAATCCTTTAGAATGTCACCATTGTCAGTCAGTATTGTGTAATCAACGTGCGCCAGAACTTCGACGATGAGAAGAAGATGTGATACGTCTGATCATAAAAATGGGATTCAACACCATTCTTCTGCTAAATGATCTTTGTTATAAGGGCGACCTGGTCGTGAACTAATTTGACGGTCAAGGTGATCCCACAACTTTTCCAAATCTCGGAACTGTTTCAAATCTCAAAGGTGATAGGGGGCAAGGGTGGCCAAGTCGTCTAAGGCGCCGTGATTCGCTGTGCAGAGTTACGTCCCTTGGGCACGCCAGAAACCTATGATTGTGGGTTCGAATCACGGTTCGCCCCGATTATGTTTCGAGATTTGTCAGCACCATACCCGTGCTCGTGGGTTTCACCGAAATGGTAAACGTCTGAGACCTGCATCCCCTCGGGCTTTCCTCCCACATTAAGCTGACACGCCGTGATATAACTGGAATACTGTTAAAAGCAGCGTTAAACCCAACTCACTCACTCACTCCAAAGGTGATTAGTCTCGTTATCGTGCTGACCAAGGCAAGTCACATGACGTCTTGTGTTATCTTGTTGAAACGTTCTGTTGCAAGAACGGTAGTACAACAGGATAGGGAGACTGGTCAATGTAATGCTGTCCAGTGGTGAGTCCTTCCAAAATCAAAAGATCTTTCTTAACTTGGTTACAGGTGCTGAATTGACAGGGCCAATGATGCAGCATTGACAGTGTCACAGATGCTGCATTCCAGGAATAATGATGCCACTTTGATTTGGCTACAGATGCCGCCTTGACAGGGATGATGATGCCGCACTGGCCGGGCTACATATGCTGTCACGTCCAGACAGTTCGACATCCTGAAGGCAACAATATTGTCATTGTCGGAGGTTGACACAAATTCTTACACCTATTAGGAAAAACCTGAATCTGCTTTCTCCTGTGAACATTACTCTTTTCCAATTTCTGTTCTACCAGTATTGCAGTGTCAGCGTTACGTCTCGCAGTGGTCTGCAAGCTCCAGCGACTGTCACGATGACTGCCTAAGCTGATGATGTCACAGTGATAATATCGTTCCTCATATAGTATCATTTATGCATGTAAATTGTTTTGGTTGTGTTTCGGCGATTAATTCGCCGACATTTTGTATCCGGACCATTTTGTTCAGGTCAATCTGTCAATAATGAAAGCAAATATTATCTGAGGATAATGGGAAAACAATATGTGACTGCTATGATGGCATCAATTTGATATATGATTAGGGTGTCAGCTGTCCATGTCTCAAACGGTTTTATGTGGAGGACAAGTTTGAAGAATCAGTGATAAAAATGTCCCTGATTCAATTCCCTATTGTGACTTGTACCATTTGTTACCGCTTTTTTTCAGGTAAATACTTACGTTGCACGTGTTTGTGACGGGTGCCACCGATGGGGCATGATACGATGACCTTTTACACCTCATATCATCATTATTTGGTAGTGATATAGTCGGAATATATTATCGATATTTGTTGTAATTATTAATCACAATGGTAGCACGTGCATTGCTCAGCAGATTATTTTGATTATGTTTTGGCGATTGATTCTCATCCATTTTGTACCCCCACCACCTCATAAATATCAAATCGCCCGCCCCTTATGAATTCTGTCCAAGTGTGCATAACAATGGACCATCAGTGAAGTCGAACTTCATGAATATCTTTAAAGGTATGGCAGATTCCTACCAATCAGGATCACAACTTTAAAATCATTATGGATGTTGTCGAAAAAATGAACCTGGTGAATGTCTTTCAAAATTAGGTCAGTGCGTAATTTTGTCATTGGTATAGAAAGCACAAACTGAAAAGAAAGGAAACAAAATGAACCCATTCTGTCCCAATCTGCAAACAAAAACAGGCAACAGTACCAACAGTTTATAACCTGACTCTAATACCTGAAATATCCGTTGTTTTTTGTAGCTCCATAAAAAAAAACATACACAAGGAGCTATACTGCAGGGTCCAGTTAATGTATCACCCAATTCCTGTCTCGAAGATTAACCGTAATGATTAATTCTATCAAGGAAGGACTTTCTTTACATTCACAGAAAGCACTTGAGACAAGGGGAATTAATATCATTGGGATTCTCAAAAGCTCAAATGATTTCCTTAAATATGTGCAATTTCAGAAAGGAACAACTATGCACACTACAATTCCATTTGACAAACTTAAGGAAATAGTTTATTCCTTGATCTATGGGCATTTGTTACGAAACGTGATGACAATACTAGATATAGTCACATGTCTATTTTCAGAAGTTCAGGACAATTGTCAATAATGAGAGCAAAATGTCATCTTGAAGTTTAATGAGAAAACAATATGTGACTGATGAAATGGCATCAATTTGATATATTGGAATAAGACAATTAAGTAAAAGGTGACATCCCCATAGGCACTTATTGAGTTCTCCTCCTTCCTGAACTGTTTCTGTATGCGTACGAATCGGGATTTCTGCTCAGATTGGCAACGTCAAAACAAGGTAATTTGGCCAAGGCCTTTAACGTAAGCTTCAGGTACATCATTGATCTGATATAGTTCAATATTGGTCAAATAGCCAATTCCCTTCCACTGATGTACCCATCTGAACAAGAAAAAAAACGGACCAGTGAACCTGATTTGTTTTATATATAGATCTATGAATAGCTTCAAGTCTCCAATAGTCAACTTTCCCTTTATATCGAGCGATATTTCAGCAGCTTCTGCCCTTGGTTCCAACAACTTTTGAGTCCAGCACGCTCTTTCCCAGAAGATTTCAAAGAGCATCATACGACTCTTGCTTAGACGTTGTTCAATCAGGCTCATTGTAGTCAAGTCAGGCCCGAAGCAATTCCCTATTTTGACTTGTACCATTTGTTCCCGCGTTTCTCGGGTGAATAATAACGTTACATGTGTTTGTGACGGGTGCCACCGGTGGGGCAGGATACGCTCACCTTTTCGCGGAACACTTCATATCATCACTATTTGGTAGTAATATTAGATATTATCGGAATCTATTTGTGAGATTTCTTGTGATTATGGAAAGGGTTTTTACAACCTTTAATTGATATCAATTTCTGGACATTAGAGTAACTTTATTAATTTTTAATATATATTTTTTATATTTTGCTCATATTGACCCGGGTTCGATTCCTCGATAATGGGTATACATGCGACTTGGAGTCCACAAACGTGATATGACTTGAATATTATTTGCTAAACGCGGCATAAATCAAAACCACCATCAACGCCAATGCTTATTACGTTTCGTACTTCTGTTGTATAGGTTTGTATATGTGGGAGAAAATTCAATCAGGAAGTATGTTCAACCCGTCATCGTTTGCGATAAGAATGGACATATTTTGTCCCGCCACACTCACACACACTCACTTTAAAAAGAAGCGTTCAGATTTACATAACGCTCAGCGTCAAAGATCCGATGGTTCTGAAATGTAATCGGAACAACATGTTATGTCTTGTCACAATTTAAACCTCTTGCGTCACGTCATGTCACGTCACGGTACTCGTCGTCGATTCAAGTCACGCAACAACAATTAACCCCATGTTACATCACGTCACGGCAGTCATGTGATGTCAAGTCGTGATCAAAGTTTGTATTTTTCAATTTGTTGAATGAGTGAGTGAGTATGGCTTTTCGTCGCTTTTAGCAATAACCCAGCACTATCACTGCGGGGTACACCCGAATCAGCTTTCCATACCCTGTGGGGAATCGAATCCGTACGCTCGACGTGACAATCGAACGCTTTAAACACTAGGCTATCCCACAGCCCCATTTATCGAAGAAAAATCCGGCACCAGAAACACAAAATGTTCACCAGTGATCTCATTTGAACAGAAACGGTCATGAACTCGAGGAAAATACATCTGAAAGCCTGGGAAATGTATTTGGAGTAATTGCAAACAACGTTTGATACGGAAGTAAACGTTTCAGTCATCGTTTGAAAACAGACAGCATCAAACATAAACAGCCGAATCTATAATCTCTACTCTTTCGACAACGAAATCACTTGATTACTTAATTCTAGCTGATGCTGCACAACCTCAATTTCTTTGAAAACGTATCAGTCACACTGATCCGCATCATATCATACCGGATTAGGATTGAGTGACGTAATTACTGTGGATGTGGTCCTCATTTGTCTTGTATAGAAATGGAATCTCGGTTGAGATTAATGATGCCATACTGAAAAGCCCATTTAGGTAATTACTTTATTTGAAATCTCCTGGACTTGGAGTGGGATGTTAAACGTTCATTAAACTGATTGCGGAACGCTGATAAATTACCAGGATTGAGGCGGGGGATGTATCCCATTAAAGTCTTACTGAAATAGGTCGGACTTGAGGATATGATTCAAGTGTTAAAATGTTCACTCCAAAATGGACGGAAAAAGACTACCCA